GATGGCCAAGGTGGATAGATCCCACGCAAGAGGCCGCTGAGAGTGGCGTGAGGCTCTGTGGCTTTGGCCAGCGGCTGTTGGGCTCACGCACCAGACTGCCGAGGGCAGCTTTACCCACAGACCCCACGCCGAGGGGCTGTCTGGCCCAAGGACCAGGCCTGTGGGAGGCACAGGGAGGCCGGGAGAACCCCTGCTCTGTCTCAGGACCTCTGCGGGGGGGAGGGGACGCGCATCCTTTCTCCCCCACCCCCACCCCTGGCCACTCCGCGTGGACAGGCCCAGCGGCTCCGGCAGCACGTGGGGGCAGCTGCTCCCGCCAGCGACGCAGCCGACCCAGCGCCTGGCGGCTTGGTGGGAACCCTGGAGTGTGGGGGCGGTGCCCAGGGCTGCCCTGACCCAGAGGGATGGAGTTCTCTGTGCCAGGTGGGCGGCTCCCGGGACCGCGTCCTAAGTAAACTTCCTGCATGTAGCCTGTGTCTGGGGCTCTGCGGGGTGCAGGCGGGTCTCCCCGTTCTCGCAGAAGGTGCACACACAGGGCCTCAGGGTGTCCACTGCCCGACCCCGCCCCGGCCTGCAGCCGCCTGTGAGGGCCAGACAATGATCGTGGTGAGGAGATAGGGAGGGAACTACTTCAGTGTGCGATCAACCTGCCAGTTGCCTTGCAAATAGACTTATTTTCCTGTCAAATTTGATCACTGCCAACATGGCGGGGGTGGGGGTGGAGGGTGCCAGGACAGATTTCACGTCTTAGAACAGACGTCTGTGTTAGGCGTTGATTCTGGTCCCTAGAGCGTCCACCCATCGCGAACCTGCAAAGACTGAGGTGTGACTGCCCTTTCTCAGCAAATGGAAACGGCGGCGAGCATCTGCAAGGCCAAAAGGACAAGCACCGCGGAGCGCCAGTGGCGTTCGGGCCACCCGCCCGTGCTCTAGGGAAGGGTCGCAGCACGCATTCCAAGGGGACAGAGTGGACGTCCACACGGGGCCTTTTAGAGGGACTGGGGCCCACAGGTCGGTGGGGGCCTAGCCACCCTCAGACACGAGGGTCCGCCATTCCCACAGCGCAGGGGAGCGGGAAGGAGCCGCCCTTGCTGGGAGGGGAGGATCCGGTGCTCAGCGGTCCTGAGGAAAGCAGCGAGTGGAAATGTGGGGTGGGGGGCACGCTCTGCGGGGAGGGAGGTCTCTGCGCCTCCTCTCGTCCCGTGTCAGGACTCCCTCGCGCCAGCAGGGTTTCGCCGGCCAGGCCCTGTGCTGTGGGCTCCGCTGCAGACAGTAAAAACCAGATGCAACACAGAAAGACGCCAGGGCCATAAACTGGAGGACGCCCTGGTCCCAGCCCAGGGCGGGGAGGTGACCAGGTGCCCTCCCACAGGAGCAACCAGCAAACTAGGCCAGGCCGCTTCCCAGGGAGGTGGGGCCACCACGGGGTCATCTCCACACCCATAATGGCCTCGGAGGGAGTCCCCCTGAAGAGTTACTGCTCGTCCTGGGAGGGAAACGGCTGCCTTGCCATGAAGCTCCCAGGGGACAGGCACCAGCCGTGGATTCCAGGTGTGTCTGCTGGTGAAAACGCCCGCTCTCTGACGCAGGGAGGTGGTCTCTGCTTTTCAAGGCTGCAACCTGGGCGGTGGGAAGGCACTCATGCCAGCTGGGGGACAGGACACCTTGGAAGGTTGGTGGAAGGCAGGAAAAGTGTGGGTGGCTGGTGGGTGAAGCGCTAGTTTGTTGACATGCCAGCCCTGAGTGTCCGCCCACGATGCCAGGCACCCGAGCCCTCAGAATGTCCGCCTCACACAGCGCCTCACATATCAGCACCCGGAGTCCTGGTGGCAGAGACACGGGGAGTAACCGTGGTCACCGTGGCTATTACTGCTTCTGACATCAAATACCTACCTCTTCCTTCATGGAGCACTCTCCACTCACACCACCTGTCTCCTAAGACTCCATTCCTCTCACGGCGTCAAGTGCGAGAACACAATGTCTAACACCTGACATTTCTGTATCCGGTTAGCAGCTGGGCCAGTGCAGAGCCAATTCTACTTCCTTTTGCTGCATACACTGTATATAGAGACTATACACCTATACAATACCCACTCACACATCAGACGTACACACACATCACATGTACACACACATCTGTAATTTGCTTGAACATGAGAGGAACCCCACATACACACACATGCTATACACATACTTTGCCATCCTGAAAAGGTGAAAAGCAGTTGGCTTAGAAAGAATTTTGCATCTATCATTTTCAAGCTTGGACAAAGTGATGGCAATAACACTAAGAACTTCCATTTTTTAAATTAGGTCTTTTATGTCCTTCAAAGCTCCCGAGTTAATGTTTAGTTTAGACCTCGTAGCTGCAGAATGGGGCTGGGGGAGGGCTATGGAGCTCCGTCCCCTCTGGCCACACACCAGAGGGACAGGGACAGAACAGCTCTTATCTCGCTCGTAAGGGTGGGGTCAGTAAGATGGCGCCCTTTATCTGCCCTAGCTTGTAGACCATCACTCGGAGCACAGACATAACCCAAACTCCAGCCAAGTATGCCTTCCCGAGCTCCAAACTTCCCAGGATAAGTCTTTCTAAATATTATTTTTGCTGGTGTTAACAGTAACCAAGATAACTTCTCTGGATGACTTATATAGCTTTAACTCTGCCCTCAAAAATTCCACTATTCCCCTGGTGATGAGCGAAGAGTGAGAGTGGGAGGGAGGGGAACGGAAGCTTCTATGCGAAGTTCTCTTAAGTTGGGTATCAAACAGGGAGGTCTGTAAGGAGGGGAGGCAGGATGCATTGAGAGAGAGCACGCCACGAAGCCGGCCGGTCATCAGGTGACAGGCTGCTCTGGGGCTTCGGGGAGGCCCTGTGAGGTGTTTGCTGGGGCTGCCCGGGAAGAGAGCCTCATGTGTTCACGGCAGTAGAGTCCATTTCACTCACACGAGAGGCCAAGGCCGAGACGTGTTCTACAAATAGTCAGCGCCCCGCGTCAGGTTCACACCCTGCTCAGCGGCCGAGAGAGAGTCAGGGGCACCCGGGAAGCATCCAGACGTGTGTGCGTGCGTGTGTGTGTGTGCGCGTGCGTATACATGCATAGCTCCAGGAATGGGAACCGTGCGTGGCAAGCCAGGCAAGGGAGCCAGGAGGCACAGCTCCAAGGAGCATCCTAAGGCCTCCTAACACCACCTGAGTCACAGTTTACAACTCCCTCCAGGAGCTCCCGCCTGCCTACCTGCACCCTCAGGCAGGCACACAGAGGGACAGGCAGGCATCAGGAGGAGGACCCCTGGCCTGGGATTGCCTAGTGGTTTTATTTTTATTTTTTAAAAATATATTTTATTGATTTTTTTACAGAGAGGAAGAGAGATAGAGAGCTAGAAACATCGATGAGAGAGAAACACTGATCAGCTGCCTCCTGCACACCCCCTACTGGGAATGTGCCCGCAACCAAGGTACATGCCCTTAACCGAATCGAACTCAGTACCCTTCAGTCTGCAGGCCTACCCCCTGAGCCACACCGGTCAGGGCTCTCGGTGGTTTTAGAGAAAGGAAATAATAGCAGTTTGGTGATCAAATTTTATTCATTCAACTTAATAGGAAGCACTGCGCTATAACCACGGGATAAAAAGACCGAAACAGGGCTTCTGTCGTCCTGAGTGGACTGTATCATTGGTCATTACAGAACACAGGAGGAAAGCAAACGGTCCTTCAAGGCCCGAGTGACGCGCACACCGGCTTCCACACTCAGCTCAGCTCTGAGGAAGCAGCCCGGTGCCTGGGGCACAGGAGGGATGCCAGGCTGTGGCACCCGCACACCGAACCTTAACCCGCCGTAACGAGGACAGGATCTTACCCTTCGCAGCTGGGTGGACCTAGAGGGTGTGGCTGAGGGAGATAAGTCAGACAGACAAATGCCAGATGGCTTCGCTCAGAGGTGGAATCTAAAGAGTAAAATAAACAGACAAAACAGAAACAGGCTCAGAGACACAGAGCAGACTGATGGCGGGGAACAGGGGGCAGGAGGCGCTGAGTGGAAAGGTGAGGGATTGAGCAGCACAGACTGGGGTGACGGACGTTGAGGGGATGAAGTGCAGCACAGGGAACTGCCAATGACGTGAGAATAACTAGGCATGGTGCCGGTGGGCACAGACCCGCCATCAGGGTCTTTGTAAACCATGTAACTGTCTCACCACCACGCCAACTAGTCCTTGAAACAGACCTCTGACCCATCAGAAACTGCTTTGTGTATGAGGACCCGGGGCCTGAAGGTAAGCCACCTCCTGATCAAAGGCTGCAGGGTGGGGAGCAGGCACCAATGCCACCCCATGGCCTGCCGCCCGCTGTCCTGCATGGACAGTTCCTTATGTCACCCAGCAGCCAAGCTAGCTCCTCACACCCGCACCCACTCCCCCACACCCACACCCACACCCACACCCACACCCACACTGGCACCCACTCCCCTACACCTACACCCGCACCTGTACCCACACCCACGGGAGGGAGACGACTCGGGCAGGGAGGCAAGGAGCATTGGGGTGGGGGTGGAACGGGTGCATGAAGCCATGGAACTGAGAGACGTGTCCTGGCTGGGGAACCTGAGCTGCCTGATGTGTGATGAATTAGCTCTGAGACGGACAGAGGGAGCAGGGAGCACAGAGGGGGACTCAAAATGTGAGGGGTCCTGACCATCTGAGTGAGGCTGAAGGCGGCCTCCTGGCTCCGTCTGAGGCTTCTGAACTCTGCATTCTGGGAAACTGGTCTACAACATGGCACAAACGCCGCTGCCCAGGGCCAACTTTCCATTCCCCTCAGCACAGGGACCAGCGGCCGGGCAGAGGGCATGGCAGGGCGCCCCTGGGTGTGCACCGCGAGTGCGGCCTGGCTCCCCGCCTGCGCGGGGTGGACACCTGGCGGACCTCCGGTGCAGGCACGATGCCCGGTATTTGCCACGTAGCCAGTGGCTGCGGTCCCGCCTGACTAACGCCCGCCCTGCCCGCAGCTGGAGGGCTACATCCAGGACAGCATGCGCCGGGGCGCGGCCGCACTGCAGCAGAGCGCCACGCACAACCAGACGGCCGCCATGATGGAGATCGGCTCCAGCCTCCTCAACCAGACGGCGGCGCAGACGCGCAAGCTGACGGACGTCGAGGCCCAGGTGAGTCACGCGGGCACCACGACAGGCACGGGGGCAGGTGGAGGTGGGCCGAGGGCAGGCAGGGAGGACAGGTAAGCACTCAGGACCGGACAGGGACGTGGCATCAGGACACGTATCCTCGCGGTTAGCACTGAGGGGAAGGGCGTCTGTCCCACCAAGGACCGCACCGTGCTCCCGTCCCGCACACGCGTCTGCCTCTCGTGCTCAAGGCCCTCGAGGCCTCCTCTTCCGGGCCTCGGCTGCTCGTGCAGAGAACGAGGCCGGGCAGAGGCCAGAGCTGCTCCCCGACGGCCCTCAGGGCATAGCCTCCATCTCAGAGAACTGTCCTGCCGCTTGTGCAGAAGACTGCCATTCCTGGTGCAAGTCACACAGTTTGTCCTACCAGTTCACACAGTCACTGTCTGACTTGGCAGAGAGGCAGATGGGGGAGCAGGGAGACAGAGAGATAGACAGACATAGGGAGCAGGCAGGACAGAGAGAGAGACGGATAGAGGGAGCAGGGAGCACAGATGGACAGACAGACGGACAGAGGAAGCAGGCACAGGGGCTCACTCCACCGGGAGCCAGGCTCTCTGATGGTCCCGGCTCCGAGTGGCTGGATGAGCAACTGAGCGAGGCCCGCTCTTGGACCTCAGCCGCGTGGCTATGGATGAGGCAGGGCCACGGGAATGACTGCGAAGTCCCCTTTCAGCTTTAAGAGCTAATGGTTAACATAGAAAAGACCATGAAACACAAAAATATTAAAAGAATAACTGCAAAACAGTAAAACAGAATTCCTGGAGCCACTAGTGGCACACACAGGACAGCAGGTGAGCTTGGGGGCAGTGCTGCTGGAAGAACTTGTGGGGTCCCCCACCCACCACGAGTGCTCCCGGCCCCCAGGCCCGCTCCACTCCGGGCTGCTGGGCGAGCACCTTCCTGCTCTTAGAATCTGTGATGCTTAGGAGAGACCAGCAGCTCTAATGCAGGCACATCCCACGCACAACCTAGTGGGAGTGGCCGCCAGGAGGGAGGAGCCTCATCCCCCGCCCCCACCCCCCTTCCCCAGCTGGGCCATCTGTCCCCCTAGCGGCGGACTGCAGGGACCTGGAAAACGGTGGTGGGAGAAGCACATGCCAACTCACGTGAGGATGGGTAAGAGTGACCTGCTGACCTCCTCTTCCCACAACCTCAGACAGTTTAGGGAAAACAGGAGCATCTACAGGACGGATCACAAGGTACCAAAAAGGGTAATCCACAAAGGTGAAAAAGGAAGAATGGAAACGTGTAAAACTTAACGGGAAACTGTCAGCATACCCAGTCTGTTACTACAATCAACGGCCGTGACGAAGCCACGCTGCGGCTTCCCATGGAAGGCTGGTGGGTGCGGCTGGCCGCGTGCCCAGAGGCGGCAGCAACGAGTGGCAGCGGCAGCCAGGACGCACACCTCCTGCACCCTGTGCCAGACCAGCAGCGCTTCATAAGCCTTGGTGGTCGGGGCCACTGTCATAGGACCCAGCTGGGAGCACGGGGACGGCTGGAGAGCAAGCGGCCACGTCCAAGTAGACACAGGAGAACGCGGCCGAGCCGGCTGCGCAGCACACGGTGTCACCAGCAGTGACCAAGCAAGGCAGGCTGAGTCCCAGCCTATGAGTTTGACTCCTCAAGCCTGAGAGACGACCAGGGACAGAGGGGCAGTGTGGCCTGGGCTCCTGGCTCAGTGACTGACAGGCACCGCAGCGGGAGGCCCGGCAGGCAACGAAGCAATGTCCCCCCGCCCCCATGGCCCTCTCTGGGCCTTCAGAGTTCCACTCCCTCTTAGCAAGAGCCCACAGAACGCTTGGGCCACAGAGGGAAGTGTTTGGTCCAAGCCCGCCCAGGCTGGCAGTGCCCGTGTGGCCACTGGGGAGCGGCCCGGTCTGCATGTCTCCAGCCGGACTCAGGCTGGGACGGCCGCCCTGGCCTCGGCCTTTTAGAACGTCAGGGCCCCGAGCAAACAGTGCTCCCCTCGGTCCAGAGCCCGGTTCCTGTGCAGCCATCCCGCCCACACTGCCACCTGGCTGCGCACCCTGAAGGCCACACCACACGGGTGAGCAATGGATCTTCCTGCCACGAGGCAGCCACGCGGGAGCCGAGTCCTCGGTGTGGAGCACGGCGGGCCGCGGCAGTGCGTGTGGCGGGCTCCGCACTCCCACCGCTGTGTCCTGACCGGCTGACACCAGGTGCAGAGCCGGAAAAAGAAACAGAAGAGGAAGACGCTAACCACGAGACACCACCGAGAGGAGACGGGGAAACGGCCGTGTGTGGAAGGAGCAGGGGCGTCCGCCCAGCGTGGCTGCGGACAAGGGAGGCAGGGCCTTCGAGGTCACAATTCCCGGCATTGGGGTGAGCGTTTCACACCCAGCGCCTCTCTGAGCACCAACACGGCAGGACAGGGAAACTAGAGCTGTTATCTGACAAACACCACTGTCCGGAACGGGCAGACTCTCCCAATAAAGCACTCCCTGACGTAACCAGGAAACCACGCCTCTGACCACTTAAGCACAGGGTGACGCACACTCTAGGGCTAGACCCTGCCGGGGGCACAGTGACCAGTGAACGCTGACCAGCGGAGTCTGCTGTCGCCCGCAGGTGCTGAACCAGACCACGAGACTGGAGCTCCAGCTTCTGGAACATTCCCTGTCCACCAACAAACTGGAGAAGCAGATCTTGGACCAGACCAGTGAAATAAACAAGCTGCAGGATAAGAACAGGTAAGAAAAGCACAAACAATGTATAATTTGAACAAGCAAGTCCATTTTTAATGCAAGTATTTTTAAATGTTTCAAACTTTTGCTTCTGCAAAGCGAGAAACGCACGTTGGAGACCCATCACTGAGCTGGGTCGCTCGGCGCATCATGCCGAGGCCTCTGAATGAGCTGCATTTGCTGCAGTCCTGCTGGATGTGGGGGCTGACCGGCTGTGTGGTCGCTCACCGATGCCGCGGGGGAGTGTGTGCCACATGGGCCAGTCTGCTGACACGCCCAGGAGGGGCCTGTCCCGCTGTTTTATTTACTGCGTCACGGTACTCGCACCCCAGGCACGGCACCCAGCGCCATCCATGTAAAGATCTGTCCCGTCAGTGACCGGTCCCCGAGAAGTGGGACCCGCCTCCCGAGCTCAGACACCGCTCCGCCCTTCACGAACGGCCCGCCCGTCAGCTGGAGCGCTTTCAAACGCAGAGTGGACTGCACCCCTTTAACCGCCGCTGACCGGGTGGTCTGTGTGTGAAAGCTGGACAGCGGATGGGCCGGGACTCAGCCGCCCGGGCAGGCGTGCGTCCTGCTTCGTCTTGCTACAGGCTCCTCCATTCTTTCATGCTCTTCACGAACAGCTTCCCTGCCCCCATTTCCTCTGTTTCCCCAGATGCTCACCCAGTGTGAGAAATAAGATGTAAACACCACAGGCATTTACTGAAAGAAGTCCCCGCACACGTGCACCCAGTTCAGACCCGTGCTGTTCGAGGGCCGCTGTGTTTGACTCCCTTTCATTAGCAGTGCCGGTGCGGCTCACTGAGCTGCTGTCTCAGCCAGCGCGGGCCCCGCCCTGCACGTGAGCGCTCTGTGACTAGGGCTAGCCCAGGGACCTGGAGCGCTGGGGACCCCGCCTGGTGTGGCTCTGCGTTTGAGAGGAGGCCTTGTGGATGAGGATGCGACAGCCTCTGCGGCTGTGCTAGTTCCGGGAGGAATCAGCGAGTTTCTTGAGAAAACGCACACCCGAGTGTCCCCACATCCACACACGCTCTGGGCCATGTGACGCCCATCTGCCCCCCTGCCCCGGCTCCCCCAGGAACAGTGAAGACAAAGGAGGGCGTGTGCTGTGCAGGCGGCAGAGACGGGGACCAACTGCCCGCAGAGGCTCCACAGCTCAGCCCCAGCGGGCGCTGGCCGTGACGCCAGGCAGAAAGCCACGCTTGGCGCGTTCACCTTCGTTACTTCTGTGGTGGAGAGCCACCTGGTTTTACTTACGGAAGGTGACGTAACTGACAATGACTTGGCTGATGTCAGGAAACTGTTAAGGAATGACCACTGAGAAGGACGTGGGAAAGGGTGTAAGCCAAGCGCACGTGATGACTGTGGGGAGAAACGGGCTACTTGCTGGCAAGGCCTGCCAGGTAACAGGCGAGGTCACATGCGGAGGAAGAGGCTCAGCCTGCTCTTCCCACTGCCCCGCCCACTCCCGCTGCCCCGCCCACCTGCGCTCCCAAAGCTCAGGCACCTCTGCATGGTCCACGCTCCTCTCCAGTGAGGCCATGGCTGCCAGCCTTCCTACCACAGACACCCTGGGATAACCCACCACAGCCCTTCCGTACTCCTCAATCCCTTCAGATGGTCGGCACGGCTGCCTGTCCACCCATGGAGTGCCCGAGAGCTCCTTCAGGCTGCAGCAGCATCACCCGACAACTGCTCTGATGTCTTTAAAAAAGTCTCATTGGTTTCAGAGAGGAAGGGAGAGAGAGAGAAACATCAATGATGAGAGAGAACCACCGACGGGCTGCCTCCTACACGCCCTACTGGGGATCAAGCCGGCGATCCAGGCATGTGCCCTAATGGGGAATCGCACCGTGACCGCTGGTTCCTACAGCGATGCTCAACCGCTGAGCCCTGCGGGCCGGCTCCTCTGACATCTTAACAGTGCCCTGGAGCAGCAGAAACTCCAAGGACATGACTCCCTGGGCGAGACTGACCAGACAGGCAGGGCATGGGCCTTGGGGGCGCTCAGAACACCCTGCACGAGCTGACACGCTTTCCCTCCCCAAGCTTTCTAGAGAAGAAAGTGCTCGACATGGAAGGCAAGCACACGGTGCAGCTCCAGTCCATGAAGGAGGAGAAGGACCAGCTGCAGGTGCTGGTGTCCAAGCAGAACTCCATCATCGAGGAGCTTGAGAAGCAGCTGGTGACGGCCACCGTGAACAACTCGGCCCTGCAGAAGCAGCAGCATGACCTCATGGAGACCGTGCACAGCCTGCTGACCCTCGTGTCCACGTCGGGCGGTAAGTGCGGCCACCCCTCAGTCAGGGCACACCCTGGTGGCCACACCCACCTCAGGTCAAGTGCAGTGGAATTCAGTCAGTGAAATTCTCAAAATTCTAAAAAATTATCATCTTTTAGAAAAGGCATTTCTTCTCTTACATATCCTATGTAATAAAAGAGCAATATGCAAATCAACCAAACAGCGGGACAACTGGTCACTGTAACACACACTGACCACCAGGGGGCAGAGGCTCAACACAGGAGCTGCCCCCTGGTGGTCAGTGTGCTCCCACAGGAGAGCCGCTCAGCCAGAAGCCGGGCTCACAGCTGGCGAGCCAGAGGTGGTGGCGGGAGCCTCTCCCACATGGCAGCAGCGCTAAGGATGTCTGACTGACAGTTTAGGCCTGCGAGGAGTGGCCTAAGCCGTCAGCAGGACATCCCCCGAGGGCTCCTGGACTACAAGAGGGTGCAGGCTGAGCTGAGGTACTCCCCCACCCCAGTGCACAAATGCCGTGCATCAGGCCTCTAGTTTGATATAAAAGCTTTACAGGGTCTCAACACAGAACCAAGTAGAAAGGACAAATGGAAGAAGGGGAAGGATGTATTTACACAAAATAGTTATTATGAAGCAAAGCACCTAAACATCCTTTTATTCATGGGCCTCAAACAGCCCATGGAGTTAACCCCAGTCACTGGGCATACGGGCTGGACAGGCAGTGTCTTCCGTGGGAAAAACAGCACTGGGCCCTGAGGACTGTGTGCAGACCGGAGGAGACACTGTCAGTGACTGGGTGACGTGCTCCCGCCCCTGACACCCACACTTGTGCTGCGCACACCCCACCCGCCCGCACTTGCGGGACCCTACCAGCTATACCCCTCCACACACTGAGGGACCCCCCAGCTGCATCCTCTCCCCCTCCTGCCACACCCCCTGCAGCACCTGATTCTCTCTCTACCTCCTCACTGAGGGCGAAGGCTGTGTCTCCAGCCCTTAATTAGAGATGCAACATGAGGTTGTGGGCATTCTATGTTTGTTCCTTAAATGCACGGGTCTAGTTTTCACTATGCCTCATCTCAATTCTGTCCTTCCAACCTGTACCTTCGACAGACACACTGTGCGCATGAGTCACACTGAGCTTTCATCTTCCCCTGAGAGAAATGATCCCGCTGCCCTTCAGCCATGCAGTTACCCCATCTCAGCACAGCACTCAGCCAGGTCGCAAACACGGCACAGGACGCACCCTGGGCTCAGTGCCAGGCCTCACAGGGGGCCGAGTGCCACACCTGCCTTCCAGCTTGCTTCACACTTGTGCCATTGAGGAAAAGTACACGTTTCCACTTCCACAGGAAAGGAATGTCCAGGGGGACGGAGGTGCGGGAGGTGTCAGCTGGGACGAGCAGAGCAGAGAGACTGGGTCTCTGGCAGGGAAAGCGGAGGAGGAACAGCAAGAGGCCCGCCCCATCCCCCCTGATCCCCCTCCAGGGCCCAGACCTGTGCCTGGGACCCTCCCTCCAGTGAGAGGCAGGCAAACGCTTGCAAGGACACACACACACACACACAGACACGCACAGACACATACACAGAGACACGCACATGGACACACACACACACACGAACACACACGTTTTTTAAGTGTGGCAAAAAGGGATGGGAAGTCTGAATATTTAAACTTGGAAGAATTTCATAGTCTTAGAGTTTTTATACCTAGACAGAGAATTTCAAAGACACAGATAAATGAGCATTAGGTTCACCTTTAACGCAAACTCTCTGGGACAATTGCTAACCCCCAGGGTCACTAAATGTCTTCCCAGCAGTCTCGATGGGTGAGGGCCGGGTGCGTGCAGCCCTGGCAGGTGCCATTGCTTTGGGGGATGTTCGTTTATTCTCCTGTCATAACTCAACGGGCTCCACACGGGATGGAAGAACTTTAAATGTGATAGTTTGTCACAGCCGATGGTGAAGCTGATGAGGAAGTGGGAGCTGACCACAGATAACGGTCGCTGAGAATCAGGAGCACACAGGCCACGAGGCAGGTCCGGGAAAGGGCAGGAAACCAGCACGTCCTTTCTCCTCACTGAGAAGTCAGCTGCAATGACCCCCAATGAGTGCCTCCTGAGCCCTACATGCCACTTGCCCAGGAGCCCCCCTAAAATAACCGCTCTTTATCTCTGGAAGCAGCCCGGCCGGCCCCGGCCACGAAGGAGGTGCAAGTAGCTTTCCGAGACTGCGCAGAGGCTTTCAAGTCCGGCCTGACCACCAGCGGCGTCTACACGCTGACGTTCCCCAACTCCACGGAGGAGACAAAGGTGAGGGCTCCCCGGTCCCCGGCTGCGGGCAGGGCACTCTGCCTGTCCTGCGGGCTCCAGGTCCATGCCGAGCAGGCTGACCCCAGCTGCACGCCCCCTCAGCACACACATGGCACTGACCACATGGCGCTCTGCTCACTCACACTCCCCTCTCCTGGCCCCGGGCTTGTCTCATCGGTTGTCTTCCTTGAAGTGTAAGACCCTTCCCTTAAGTTTAAAAAAAATATCTCCCAATGAACAGCCATTGTCCCTTTCAATGGGGAGTTCAAGTAAAAACGGGGCACCCCAAAGGCTCAGGGGCCATGCTTTCTCCCTCACCCAGGGCAGTCCTTCTGGGACAAGCACAGCCTGGTGTGCAGGTGAGCAGACACTGTCTAAGCACACACCTGCCTCAGCACGCGCACACATACACCCACACACCTGCCTCAGCAAACACACACATACACCTCTGCCTCAGCACACACACACACACACCCTGCCTCAGCACACGCGCGCGCACACACACACACACACACACACACCCCTGCCTCAGCACGCGCGCGCACACATACACACACACACACCTGTCTCAGCACACACACACCTGCCTCAGCGCACGCACACACACACACACACACACACACCTGCCTCAGCACACAGACGTGAGAAGGCGTGCACTCCGCTTTCAATCAGCCTTGGAATCAGCTACTGTCCCGGATGCCCAGAAGCAGTGCATCAGGGGAAAAGCCTGAGGTACTCTGCTGCCGATGAGAACGAGATGCCCCACAGGAGGGAGGCATGTGGGGCTGGGGGTGACGAGTCTCTGCTCACACTGGAAACATTAGGATTGGCGTTCCTTTCAAATGTTAGCAGTAACTCATGGCAGGGAACAGCCATCTTTCTCAAGTTCCTTTTCTCTAAAATGGTCCAGATGAAGTGCTTTAGATTCCCTTCCAGCCGGAGACTGAGGCATGGATGTGGGCTTACATTCCAGCTCTGCCAACTGTGTGTCTGAGTCAGTCACTTCAGGGGTTCCTCATCTGTAACGTCACGTCTCCCGAGGCTGGGCTGGTGCTCACCGCCCATCCCACAGACGGGAGTTGTAACCCAGGAGTGCCCTCAGCCCCAGGAGGCCAGCTTCCTGCATGGCGGGTGCCCCATTCCGTCCCGAATCAGCCACTCCAAGCAATGGACGTTGAGATTTGGGAAGATCTTTTCCAAAAAAAGGGCCTAAATATTTCAACGTCATTTCTGAAAACGCCAGTGGTCTCGGTGCAGACACTGCAGGGTGGTGCATGGAAAGCGCTGTGTCTGCTAGTTTGAGATGGAACACTTTCCTCCCAATGTCACGGGAAGGCTGTGTGCTGTGTGAGCTGCTCAGTGGTCCCTCACCGTGACCTCAGGCCGACCACAACCTTGAGCACTTGTGGACCTCCCGCTTTAGAGCCGGCTCACCCTGAGGCCTGCGGTGGGCGCCCACAGCCGCGCGGGCCCTGGCGGGCCTGCTCCCCTCCCTGCTGTGACCTGCTCCACACTCCCCAGTGCCACGGGCTGTGTGGACGGCTCTGAAAGTCTCACGACCGAATTAGTCACAACACTCCGCCTTCCACAAGCTCTCTTCTTTAAAGCTGGACAAAGTCCCGGCGTCCGAGGACAGGGGCTGCACTGCTCACACACACGCAGGGATCCGCCCTGTCCCAGAGGCTCAACTCTGACATCAGTAACTTCAGAGCGGAGGTTGGACATCACAGGTCCCCACGTCCCTGGAGCAAGGCAGGCGCACCGAGGACTGACCAGCCTGCCCGGATGTGCGTCCGGGTCGAGGGTTTACGTCTGCATGCACACGCCTCGCAGCCAGAGGCAGCGTGTGGAGCTGGTTCACCAGGTGGGTTTTACGTGACACGCGATGGATGTGAGCGGCCGGGCCGCTGTGGCCCACAGCAAACGGGAGAGGACGGTGTGTGGACCCCCGTTGACATGGACCTGCTGCGGGGCCTCGGGCCAGTCCCTGTTTCTGGGCCCAGTGAGGCGGACAGTACTCCGTGACAGCCTGTGTCCCACTTCCCAGCTGAACGACGGCCGGCTGCATTAGCCAAACCCGACTACACCTCCTCCGCTCCAGAGGCAGCACAGCCTCAGTCACAGTCTGGTTGGGTAACACGAGCAAGGCTCCTCGGAGCTCCCCATGGGTATGCACAGTGGCAACCATGACTAACAAGGTTGCTGCCAGCCCAGGGTGAGGGTTCCTGCAAGCAGATCAAGTCTAATGTCCAATGAACTGAAATGGAAAATCATTTTATTCTTATCTGGAGGCCTGGTGCATGAAATTCGTGCATGGGTAGGGTCCCTAGCCTGGCTGAAGATCAGGGCCAACTGGGGCCTTCCAACTGCCAGCCAGGGCCTTCCTTTGTTCTGTGCCTCCCCCTGTTGGTCAGCACATGTCATAGCAAGCGATCAAACTCCCTGTTTCCCAGTAGAACTCCCTCGGGGACAATTTGCATAGTAGGCATGTATATGTGTGTGTGTGTGTGTGTGTGTGTGTGTATATATATATATATATATATATATATATATATATATGCATAAGTGGAATTTTCTTTATTTGTTAATCCTCACTCAAGGATATTTTTCCGATTGACTTTTTTTTAGAGAGAGAGGCAGGGAGGGGAAGAGATAGAAACATCAATGTGAGAGACACATTGATTGGTTGCCTCCTGCACACGTCCTGACTGAGGGCCAGGATGAGCTTGCAACCAAGGTGTGTGCCCTTGACCAGAATCAAACCCACAACCCTTCCGTCCGTGGACCACACCACCCGCTGACGTACATGGCGAGGCTGCATGTTCCTTCTCAGTGGACACGCTTCCAAAGGGAGGTCGGGAGAGGGAAGGCTGGCAGCAGAGCGTGGAAGGGGCCCAGCTCTCTGGATTAGTGCACGGAGCACACACTTACACCCACCTGGCAACATGTTCGCCATCACCACCGAAAGGACCACGGAGAACATCAAAGCAAGACTACTGCTCATGGTTCTGAACCTCAGCTTCCACATTTACCACCTGCTACACTGCAGGGTGTTTCTCTTCGCTCTCTGGGAAACGTTTCCTTCCACCATAATCTTGTATTATACTTATAGCTACTATGTGATCTTATTCTCAGGGGGTTTAATTTCATGAAAAACCTCCAGCTGAGCTGAAACGGAGCATGCATGCTCCCATCCCAGAAAGAATTCCACTCTGACAAAGTTTAAACCCCGAGCCGGCGTGGCAGCAGAGCTGAGAGACACTGGGGGTGGGGGGAAGGGTGCCATGGGCAGTGAGCAAAGGGCAGAGCCTGGCGCGAGTCGGAGGCAAGCAGCCAGGCCACGCTTGGATCACACCAAGCACGTGGCCCCTCAGGCCCCTGGTGCTGAGGGATGGCTGCCAATTTTGACTTGACCCCACATGGGGAAGCGGGATGGCCCCAGGACACGCCACCTCACAGGACTCCTGGGAGCCCTAACAGCACGGGGACCCCCTCCATCCCTCCGGCAGAGGTGCAGGGACGGCTCCCTCTCAAAGGTTTTCAGGGACGTAGACAGGTCCACGCTCGTCTGCCAGGGTGGAGACGGAGGGCGGGCCATCCCTCACAGCGACTCTGAGGAAGGGCAATCCGTGTCAGCTACAGGGGTCGCAGCCTAACAGTCAGGCACCCTTCGTCCATCACCAGCCTGCACTGTATTGCTGCGACCTCCATCCTGTAAGTCATGGCTTTCAATTTACTCAAAACCACGGGATTCCCGCAGAGACCCCCAGCACATGCTGTTGGGCATCTACACGCGTCTTGCTCCTCACATTCAGCAGGAGACCCAGTCGCAACCCACACACCAGTCACGTGCCCTTCCCGTTACAGGCCTACTGCGACATGGAGTCTGCCGGAGGGGGGTGGACCCTCATCCAGCGGCGAGAGGACGGCAGTGTCGACTTCCAGCGGACTTGGAAAGAGTATAAAGCGGTATGAACAGCCCTGGGCCATCTGAAATGAGAGCTTTCACCACAAACCCAAGCTAACCAAGGACTCAGGACAGCTTTCTAACCAAAGGGTTCTGTTACCTGGTGTGTGGTCCCCCCCCCCCCACACACACACATTAAAGACCAGCCCTGTCAGTATAGCGTGGGCCACGCAGTGAGACAACACGTGAGCAGGGGGTTCACGCCAGGCAGCTCTTGGCTGGCAAGCCCACACTCCCAGCTGCTACCCCAGCACGATCCCTCCCCCTATGCCCCCATGTAGCTTAGTTTCTTAAAACTGGCCTCACCCCGCCCACATTCTTCTCTGGAGGACCCAGCTCCCAGCACAGACATCTGAGCTCGCTGCATGGGAGGGAGGAGGAGGGGCCCCTCATCTCAGACACGGGGAGCCCACGGGAAAGCCCTCATGGAGCCTTCGGGAAGCCCACAGGGAGCCTCCAGGAAGCCCACAGGGAAGCCCACAGGGAACTCATGGGGAAGCCCCTGGGAAGCCCACACGGAGCCCACGGGGAAGCCCACACGGAAAGCCCACGGGAAAGCCCACAAGGAAGCCCACACGGAAGCCCACGGAGAAGCCCACAGGAAAGCCCACGGGAAAGCCCACGGGAAAGCCCACAAGGAAGCCCACGGGGAGCCCACAGGGAAGCCCACGGGGAAGCCATCATGGAAAGCCATCACGGAAAGCCCACGGGGGAGACCACACAGGAAGCACACGGGAAAGCCCATATGGGAAGCCCACGGGAAAGCCATCACGGAAAGCCCACAGGGGAGACCACACAGGAAGCACACGGAAAAGCCCTCACGGGAAGCCCTTGGGAAGCCCACGGGAAAGCCCTCACGGGAAGCCCCCGGGAACTGACTTTCCGTTCGGTTGCAGGGCTTCGGGAACCCGGCCGGTGAGCACTGGCTGGGGAATGAGTTTGTCTCCCAGGTGACCACCCAGAAGCGCTACGTGCTGAGGATCCGCCTGGCCGACTGGGAGGGCAACGAGGCCCAGGCCCTGTATGAGCACTTCTCCCTCTCGGGCGAGGACCTCAACTACAGGTGAGGGCTTCTGGCGACGGTCCCAGGAGGGAGGACACTGTGGTAGCTGGGGCCAGACCACCCTGAGAAACCTGTCTTCCCAGAGCCCCTCGCCCCGTTAGGTGAGCTTCCCCGGTTCTGAGTGGGACTGGCTTTCAGGACAGAGGGCCCTGTAAGGACAGTGTTTGCCCGGGGCCTGCTCCCTGTCTGCAAGGAGCCGGGCACTGACCGGGCACATAGAGTGTGAGCCTGCAGGGAAGTGTGAGGATGGCATCCTACAGACACACACCTTGGGCTGCTGTATTATTTACCGCAAAGCTCTAAGAGTCACTCTGCCTTCTGCAGTTAGCACACAACCAGTCGTAAGATTCAGCCCAAAGTCAGGATGACTGCCAAGTGCAAAAGCAGCAGAATTGGGGAGACGGTGGATAGTCACCTTGCAGTGCTCTGCTGTGGCTCCCTTGCTCCTACCATTACCTTGTACGCCAGCTGGTGGTGCTACTTACGAACCCTTGGAGAACATGGGGAAACCCTGGCCAGAATTCTCTCTTGCTCTAACAGTGGTGAGAGCAAGCAGGGCAGCAGAGGCTCTGAGAGCTGGGACCCTGAGGTTGTGGGGTGCCTGAGGTTCTGTGGGTGAGGCTGTGCGGGTGGGTTAGGCCATGGGGGTGGGTGAGGCCGTGGGGGTGGGTGAGGCCATGCAGGTGGGTGAGGCCGTGGGGGTGGGTGAGGCCATACAGGTGAGTGAGGCTGTGCTGGTGGGTGAGGCCGTGGGGGTGGGTGAGGCCATGCAGGTGGGTGAGGCTGTCCTGGTGGGTGAGGCCGTGGGGGTGGGTGAGGCTGAGTGGGTGGGTGAGGCTGTGAGGGTGAGTGAGGCCGTGTGGGTGGGTGAGGTCAGGCGGGTGGGTGAGGCCATGCAGGTAGGTGAGGCCGTGCTGGTGGTTGAGGCCGTGGGGGTGGGTGAGGCTGTGAGGGTGGGTGAGGCTGTGAGGGTGAGTGAGGCCGTGTGGGTGGGTGAGGCTGAGTGGATGGGTGAGGCTGTGAGGGTGGGTGAGGCTGTGAGGGTGAGTGAGGCCGTGTGGGTGGGTGAGGTCGGGCGGGTGGGTGAGGCTGTGAGGGTGAGTGAGGCCGTGTGGGTGGGTGAGGTCGGGCGGGTAGGTGAGGCCATGCAGGTGGGTGAGGCTGTGTGGGTGAGGCTCACACAGAGGAGGCACTTATGGGTGTGTGGTTCCTAAGGACTCAGAATGCATGTGCCCGTGATGAGCATGGAGAGAGGGGACAGTGCAGGGGTGCCCTGCAGACCTCAGCCACCCCATGCTCCGAGGGCTTGGCGGGCAGACGGGGGGCAAATACCAACCACGTAGCCCACGTGCCCCGCCCACCCTGAGGTCGGAGATAAACCATGTGCAGGGGACCTCACGAATTGTCACTGCCTGGCGCAGCCCCATGCAAACCCCACTCGCATCTCTGCCCACAGTACAGCCTCAGGCCCCAGCTGGCTCCCGGGGAGGGACGGCCAGCAGCCTGGGCATGAGGGGACCATGCGGGGCTGTGCAGCTCCCAGCGCTGCGCCCCACCCCCAGCCGGCTGCTGCTTTGTAAAGGGCCCTGCAGAGGGGTACGCCTGACATCCGGTCAGTGCTAACCGCGCGGTGGGAGTCGGGGACAGTCCACGGAGGCACAGGGAGAACGGTTCAGAGTGGCCGCCCCTTGGCGGGCGGCGGTGAGACAGGTGAGGCCTCTCTACACCAAGGACGCTCCAAAGATCGAAGCCCCGAGGAATGTCAGACACCAGTGGCTGGTCACTGTTTTACCTCCAAGCTAAATATTTTGTCAACTGGCAACGGCTAGGAATCTACAACAGAGGAATTTTAAAAAAGAAGCACAGAAATTAAGGATTAGACTGTTTATATAAGATTTTATAAAACGGGTCATTACCCTCGGATGCTGACATTATAAAAATACTTTAACCTGAGTTGGTTAGTTTAGAAATAGAAGTCAGCTTTTGGCTATGCCGTTTTGTAAAGCACCTGTTTGTTTAAAGCTCAGTGTAATGTGCTTGGCAGTGTAAGACCGATGCCACCCTGAAAGCACAACTCCCCTAACAAAGCATGTCCACGTCCCATCAGCATCACTGCAGAGGGCTCAGGAAGTCACCATCTACAGCAGCTGCGATGTATGGTCCCCACGTGGCAGAAAACTGAAAAGTACATCAGTAAAATATAATTCTTTTTACTAAAACGAGAACTATTTGCACATTAGACTGTAACTGGTCACGCACTGAGGCAGTCCTGTGGACTGAGACTCAGTGTGACGTGGCATGCTCGCTCCGCCCCACCCCTCTGCTCTGTGAAAGGGAGGACAGCCGAGTAGCGGAGTCCAAGGGGGCGGCCCTTCGAATCCCCAACATGAGGAGAACACGACTTCCCACCAGTGGCCACACCCTGAGCCTCCCAGAGGGCGAGGGCAGAGCCCTCCTGCTTGCCGGCCTTTGGGGCGGTGCCTGAGCCCCGAGCTGAGCTGCTCGGGGAGGAGGGGCTGTTGGGGGGGCAGCTGGCCTCAGGCTTCGGAGCCAAGGGGAGGGCCTGCGAGGACCCCGGGACCTGAGACCAGAGATGAGCAGGACCTGCACGAGCCTTTGTGCAGGCGTGCTGGCCGTGCCGGGACCATGCAGGCCATGCACGGCCCATGCAGCAGGCATGAGGGCGACCATGTGGGGGCCATGCAGGGGCCGTGGGGCTGGGCCCTGTGGACATCTTGGAAACAGGGTAACACTGAAATTCTGAAGTCGAGTCAATGCCTATGATCGTGTGTCCAGAGCTGCCACATCTAGAAACACTGAAACAGAAGTCACTCGCACGCACATGCCCTGGGACCAGCGCTTTCTGAACCCCTGGGACAGGCTCCCACCTGGCCTCCATGGCCTCCTCCTCCGTGGGCAGCCCCCACCCACGCGAGAAGAGTGAGCCTGGGACCCTGAAGGAGGAGTGGGCCCACCTTGCTCCACGAAAGAGTCCCACCCAGAACCGCGACCACCCCACATGTGGAGCCGGGGGCGCGGGCTCCCGGGCTGTGCGGCCATGGATGCTCCGTGGAAGGGCCTGTGACCCCTCCCTTCTCCATCCCCGTGCCGACATGGTTCTTGGAATCGAGATCTCCCAGGCTGTGGCTGGCAAACGAGCGGGCGTCAGGGACGCCATCCCCTGGGGTGGCGTGCAGTCCTCCCTGACTTTGCAGGGCCTGTGCTGTGGATCCCAGGACGGGCAGACCCGATGCCCAAGCTCCACACCCACCCAGCACGTGGACCCTGCTCTTGGCCGCCGGCCAGCCTGCCGCTCCAGACCCAAGGCCCTTCCCTGTTCCTGCGGGCCTCCCAGCTCTCTCCCACCAACAACAAGGGTGCGGAGGTCGGCCGTCACCACAACATGCGTGTTCCTGTCTGGGTGAAGCCTGCAGACCTGGACAGGGCCCTGCCCTCAACCTCCCTTCCCCCCTCCCCACTACGTGCAGTCCCCTTCCTGTTTACCTCAGAGCGGCAGGAAAATGAGTGGAAGGGCCCCAAGTCCCGCTGATGTCTGTGCAAGTGATATCCGTGTGGTTTCACCAAAACACGCGCTCAGCCTCAGGACTGATGATAAGCGGGTTCCTGTTTATTCCCGCGCGAGGATGCTCGGTCCAGGCTGCTGGGTGCACTTGCGGGCCAGCGCCCTTCGGCAGAGGGCTTCTTTGTGGAGAGTGTTCCACGGGGCACACCCCGCTCATCCCCCCTCTCCCCTCCCGCCCCCAGGATCCACCTCAAGGGCCTCACGGGGTCGGCCGGCAAGATCAGCAGCATCAGCCAGCCAGGGAGTGATTTCAGCACCAAGGACGTGGACAGGGACCGGTGCATCTGCAAGTGCGCACAGATGCTCACGGGAGGTAGGCGCCTGCCTGTCTGCGGGGGGCCAAGGCTGGTGTGTGTGAGTGTGTGTGTGTGTGTGTGTGTGTTTATGGGCTGGCCATGGATCAGCTGTGAGTGGTGACCACGTCCACACCATAGAAGGCCTGCCCGCGGGGGAGAGGCTTGCTTCCGCTTTGTTGCTGGAGCTGCTTAGCCCAGGAGAGAGCCTGGGCACCTGGTGATGGGCAGGTGTCTCAGTCCAGGGGCCACATTGCAGAATGTAACATAAATACTGCACCAGAGTGCTTTTCAGAGAAACAGAACATCTAGACACAAACACAGCCGCTCTACCAACCCCACCCTAAGCTGACCACTGCACTCAGGTTCACCACATTATCTGTCTCACTGCATAGAAATGGCAACAGTCCTGCTCCCGTCTTCTGTGTCTTAAAGTCTCATGAGTGGCACCACTCTGTCCTTCCACGCCTCCCTGCAGGCCTGGCACCGTGAGCTGGGTGAGGGAGAGCAGGCCCAGCCCCTGGGTGCAGATGGGGCCCAGCCCCCGCTGTGTCCCACACTCACCCGGCTTCACCTCAGTGAGCACTGTGCGGCTTTAAGTTTTTTCTTTTTATCTAGCTCTACTGGAAACTTAAAACTTGGGGTTATATTTTAAACAGAAAGAATTTCTCAGGGGGTGGGGGGAGCCTGGATCAGCCAGGTCACTGAGCTGGGGAACTGGAAAGGGTGTGGCTGCTGAGAGCCACCCCGAGGCCTCAGTGTCCCCGTCCAGATGTTCTTTCTCCTGCGAGTGGCCGTGGCCTCCCCACATGTGGCCGTGGCCTCCCCACGCAGCGCCACAGCAAAGGGGAGAAGCCTGTCCGAGCCCCGCCCACAGTGCACAGGACCCTCCCTCTGCGGCCCCGCCCAGGGCACTCAGGACACCGACACCTAAAATGCAGGAATGTGCGCGTGGGCCAGCGGGTGGCGGGTGGCTGCTCCCGGGAGGGGGCCCACCCTGACCCTCTGCTGCACTTCACAGGCTGGTGGTTCGACGCGTGTGGCCCCTCCAACCTCAACGGAATGTACTACCCCCAGAGGCAGAGCACCAACAGGTTCAACGGCATCAAGTGGTACTACTGGAAGGGCTCGGGCTACTCGCTCAAGGCCACGGCCATGATGATCCGGCCCGCGGACTTCTGAGGCCGGGCCCGCGGAGGGCCGGGCCGCGGCGTCCTCACCAGAAGGCCGGGGGACACGGCGGCATTGTCCCTCCGCCCCAGAGGGAAGCACCCGGGGCCCGAGTCGGAGCCCCCAAACTCCCCACTGACACCTGTCCTGCTCGGCAACCCCAGCACAGCCCGACCTTCACCTCGTGACTGTAGGGTGTCTGTGCAGAGACGAGTTTATGCTGCAAACGGATGATGGCTCGCAGGCTCCTGCACGCCGAGAGCATCAGTGAATAACTGGAAACAGCTCCGGGCTCCCGGGTCGTCTGGATGCACCCCGCTTGCCTGCCGGCTGACGACGGAGGGGACGGCAGCCTCGCGCCCAGCACAGACTAGGTCCCTGCGAGGGTCAGAGTGCCTTCTGCCCTCTCTTGGGTGCTTTAATTTTCATCTGGAAACCGCGTGTCTGCACAGGCGTCGCCAGCTGCGTTCTAAGCTAATGCTCAAAAAGATGTCAAGTTTATACGAAAAAACTCCCAGGATGTATTCTTTTATTTCATGTAAAGATTGTACACTTATTTTTGCTGCCTGACTGTTAACTATGAAGGTATTTTTAGTAATTAAATGTAACTTATGAGGTGAACTTTTATGATAATGTTTACAATTCTGCAATTTGATTCCAAAACAACAGCCGTGCGTCCTGACCGTGGAGAGTGCCTGGTCTGTTTCCCGGACCGACCCGCCACCCCCAGTCCCTCGGGCTCTTCCCTCCGGGCGGGCAGGCCAAGGAGAGGAAGCCCAACGTGGGACGTGCACGAAGCTGAACTCCCTCCTTAAGTTATCTCAGGAAAAGGTAACTTGTATCAGTACGCTGTTTATTTGTAAATGTCTACCACCACACAGCTTTGAAACGGGTTTTGAAGCACAAAACTGATATCTGGTGTTCCCCTCGAAGTCGTGAGTGTGTGACAGCGTGAGCAGACTCTCGCCCAGGCCGACCCAGACCCTGACCTGGGGCTAACTCGGTGGCTGTTCCTTGGCGAGCGGGCAGGTGGGCAGGCGGTTCTGAGCTGGAGGCCCTCAGGCATTTGCTTTCCGCCCAGTTGCCAGGCAGCTCAGCCAGATGGACAACCAGCAACTTCACCATCTTGCTTCCCGCCATAGCTGTGTCCCTAGTCCCGGTTGTGGTCCCACCACAGCCGGGTCCCTAATCCCACCACAGCCATATCCCTTAGTCCTGCCTCAGCCGGGTCCCTAGTCCCACCACAGCGTGTCCCTAGTCCCACCACAGCGTGTCCCTAGTCCCACCACAGCGTGTCCCTAGTCCCACCACAGCGTGTCCCTAGTCCCACCACAGCCGTGTCCCTTAGTCCTGCCACAGCCGTGTCCCTAGTACCACCACAGCCGTGTCCCTAATCCCACCACAGCCGTGTCCCTTAGTCCCGCCTCAGCCGTGTCCCTAATCCCACCACAGCCGTGTCCCTTAGTCCCGCCTCAGCCGTGTCCCTAATCCCACCACAGCGTGTCCCTAGTCCCACCACAGCGTGTCCCTAATCCCACCACAGCGTGTCCCTTAGTCCCGCCTCAGCCGTGTCCCTAATCCCACCACAGCGTGTCCCTAATCCCACCACAGCGTGTCCCTAATCCCACCACAGCGTGTCCCTAGTCCCACCACAGCGTGTCCCTAATCCCACCACAGCGTGTCCCTTAGTCCCGCCTCAGCCGTGTCCCTAGTCCCACCACAGCGTGTCCTAGTCCCACCACAGCGTGTCCCTAGTCCCACCACAGCGTGTCCCTTAGTCCCGCCTCAGCCGTGTCCCTAGTCCCACCACAGCGTGTCCCTTAGTCCCGCCTCAGCCGTGTCCCTAGTCCCACCACAGCGTGTCTCTAGTCCCGCCTCAGCCGTGTCCCTAGTCCCACCACAGCGTGTCCCTAGTCCCGCCTCAGCCGTGTCCCTAGTCCCACCACAGCGTGTCCCTAATCCCACCACAGCGTGTCCCTAGTCCCACCACAGCGTGTCCCTAATCCCACCACAGCGTGTCCCTTAGTCCCGCCTCAGCCGTGTCCCTAGTCCCACCACAGCGTGTCCTAGTCCCACCACAGCGTGTCCCTAGTCCCACCACAGCGTGTCCCTTAGTCCCGCCTCAGCCGTGTCCCTAGTCCCACCACAGCCGTGTCCCTAGTCCCACCACAGCGTGTCCTAGTCCACCACAGCGTGTCCCTAGTCCCACCACAGCGTGTCCTAGTCCCACCACAGCCGTGTCCCTTAGTCCCACCACAGCCGTGTCCCTAGTCCCACCACAGCGTGTCCCTAGTCCCACCACAGCGTGTCCCTAGTCCCACCACAGCGTGTCCCTTAGTCCCGCCTCAGCCGTGTCCTTAGTCCCACCACAGCGTGTCCCTAATCCCACCACAGCCGGGTCCCTAGTCCACGCTCTTCTCTAACCTGTGTGGCCCCACAGCTCATACACAGACCGGCCGGGTCAGTGCTCTCCTCGCTCTGTGCTCCGTGTCTCCTTATCAACGTGAGGCCGTAACCGTCAGAGGCGTCCGCTGTGCGGAGGGGGGCATCTGATGAGACTCTCTGCTGGGAGGGAGCACGTTTCCAGATCTCGGGGGGGGGGGGGGGGAGCAATGACAGTGTGAGGGGAGCCGACATGGGGAGGTGGGCAACAACACCATCCACACTGCTCGCCCACACAGAGCAGCAGCCCGACGCATTTCCAAGGCGACCGCCCCGTGTCCTTGGGCGGCCCGTCCCTCATGAGAGAGCGGGACCTTGACCTCGGGCTGTAACTACGCTTCACTCCCTTCCATGATGCCAAAGCCTCGCTGAGAGGACGTGTTCTCTCCGTAAGAAAACGTCTATGAAGCTGACAGAAATCAAAGCAGTCATCTCAAAAATGAAGAGAGACCCACCCACAACCTGGAGAGCCCAGGGATTCAGGGCAGCGGTCAAGCTCTGTCACGGGACAATCGCCCAGAACACTGGAGCGGCCAAAAATGCACCTTGGCTGCCGCAGATGCAGCCGCGTCCGTCTTCCAGGCGATAAGCGTGTGAATGAACACACGCACACACCAGCAGCCCCTGCGCGGTGCTGCGCCCCGTCACCTGGGAGATCAGGCTCCGCCCTCGGACACCAGGCCCGAGCTCTCCTGCTGGTCTTAGACACGTGGGAACTCAGGCAGGTGGAGCCGAGTTAGGAAACATGGAGACAAAGCCCGCCCATCCTGCTGGCAGGCCACGCTTCACGGCTCCCAGGTCCGTCTCACGGGCGGCGGCAGCAGCACTGCGCACAGCTGTGAGCGCGTACACAGGCCCTTCTCAAGAACGCCTTCTCAGTTTTGTCTTTCTGTCCTGAGGGCTTCATAGTTAAGGCTTTTTGAGAATGCATTTCTCACAAATAGTCTCTGGATGTCTTTCTAGTTATGGGCATAACTGCTCTTGATTTAATAAACATCAGAGCGCACAGCTTTGCTAATAACAATTTCTCAAGAAACTGTAGTTGAAGTCCCCACCGCAAAGCGAGGCCTGACTCACCGGAGCGGCGGGAAAGGAGTCGGAGAGTTCGAAGGGCTCCTCAGAAATCCAGTGACCCAGTTCCAGAGACCACAGGACCTGCCACGGCATAGAAGGGAGCATTTTTAACATTTATTGTCAAAGAGTCTTAGTGAACAACAAGCCACCTAGGAGATCGAGCAAAAACAAAACACATGGGAAACCCAGCGGCGAGTGCACCCCCCCCCCCCCCCCCCCCCTCACCCCCCGGGTCAGAGCAGACGTGAGCTGCACCCCGAAGGGCCCCAGCACCTCCTGGCTGCGCAAGCAGCACATGGGTAAGGGCCTGGTCAGGTGTCGCCTCGTGATGATTAGACACCAGGGCTGCTGTCCCATGGAGGCCAAATCCGATGCGAGACGCCCTTCTCCTAGACAGGGAACAGTACATTCCTTTAAAACTGCCCGTCTCCAACCTAAGGAGGCATGGTAGACCATGCTCAGGAGAGTTTTCCACAGTCTTATTAATTAAAAGGAAAGACACAAATTAGGAGGAGACAGACCAGAGGCCTAAGCTTAAAAAGCAACCCTTTGGCGTGCACTGTTCCCAACATCGTCTGACACTTTCAGAAGTTCCCCAGAATACACGTGAGAGACCCCGGACGTGTGAAGAGGAAATATCTCAAAAACATGCTTTCATCATCATCAGCAGCAGCAGCACCTGAATCCACACATTTAAATGATCAAAATAACGTCTTCGTTTTGATTCAGCAACGCCTGAGGCGGGAGGCTCAGGCACCATCTTTGCTCTGTGACCGAGTCCCTCCAGCCGGTTTCTACCCTCCGGCAGGATTCACAACTGGAGCCACCATGAAACGCACGTGTCTGTCACCGCCTCGGGCATCCCTTCTTCCTGTAGTGGCTGCACAGCTACGTCCTTCTGGCTGAACTGCTGGCGCAGGAGAAGCCTTCCCTTCTGGGAATTCCTACAGCTCAGAACCACCTACGGGCACCGGCCTGACACATCCCCCTATTATAAGGTGACCAGACATCCCGATTTTTAACAATTTGTTCCGTGTCCTGTGTTTTAAAAAAGTCCTGCCGAAACCAGTTTGGCTCAGTGGATAGAGCGTCGGCCTGCGGACTGAGAGGTCCCAGGTTCAATTCCGGTCAAGGGCATGTACCTTGGTTGCGGGCACATCCCCGGTAGGGGGTGTGCAAGAGGCAGCTGATCGATGATTCTCTCTCATCGATATTTCTAACTCTCTATCCCTCTCTCTTCCTCTCTGTAAAAAATCAATAAAATATATTTTAAAAAGTCCTGATTTTCAATTTTTTGGACTTTTTTAAAACGCCGTGGAACAAATTGTTAAAAATTGGGATTGTCCCGTCAAAAGCAGGACGTTTGGTCACCTTACCCTACCATCACCGCCAGCGCTACCCACAGGGGACGGCCATGCTGTTTGGAGAGAAAGTGCGTGTGGCAGGGAAGTCAGGCTCAGGGAATGGGGTCCGAATGCTTTCCCCCCAGCACTGGCCTGGGCCCCAGACACAAGGAGCTACAACAACGCTTTCCTGGCTCACGTATCGTTCCTCTGTGACCATGAGCAAGATCCCACGCCAGGGCCTGGAAGCACAACAACCCGAGGTGGTCAGGCTCCGTGGGGGGCGGGAGGCAGCCGCCACAGGGTGCTCCAGCACAGGCATGGGAACCCAGCGGGGAAGCCAGCTGGCTGTCTAGGCAGGGGTGGAGATCCTTCCTTGCCAAGGGCTGTTTGGATATTTATAGCACCATCCTTGGGCCATGCAACACCATCAATTTATTTGGTCAAACATTTAATGAACTCTGGCAGGGCCAGGCCAGATGATGTCAAGGGCCTTATACGGCCCATGGACCAGAGCTCCCCCTGCCCCCCATCCTGGTCTAGGAGATCCCAGAAAGGGTTGGCAACGAGCTGATATTTACCCAGAGCCCCAGGGAGCTCAGCAGGCAAAGGGGAAGGGACCTCAAGCCAAGATGGCCCGTTCCTGGGCGAGTGGGGTGTTCTGGACGAAGGGTAGGGAGACGGGGTGGTTGGGCCCGTCTGGGAGGCATGAGGGGTGGTGCTCCTTTCCCTGTGTGCTGGGGCATCGGCTCGGGGCAGGGGAATCAGAAGAAAAGCCAGGAGCGAGGGCCTGGGCTAGGCCCTCGATGGCCTGGGGAAGCCGCAGGCCGCGGGAAAATCAGCCTCCACAGGGAGGGCACAGGACAGGTGTGAGCTCGGGGACTTGTTCAGTGTTCAGTTGGACCTGTGAGTCCACGAGCATTTTGCCAATTAGACCACCTTTTGGTTGTCCCTGATTTTTACTGCCTAACCAACATCACACACACGCACACACACAAACACACGCGCACACACGCACACACACAACTTAGGAAGTTCAGTGAAAGGAGGTTTTATAAACTTGGACACTAAAGCCATGTTTCTCCCGGCTTTCTGGGTGGTTACAAACACTTAGAATAGCTGTTTGCCTGGCTTGTACCGGCCACGGTCACTGACAGAAACACACGAGCTGCGAGGTTCCTCGTGGTCACAGCGCGGGCAGGAAGCAGCGTGACCAATAGGAGGCCAGGAGCACAGGGGACCGGAGTCAGGGAGCATCTTAGACACGCCGTGGCACCGAGGTCACTCGAATCCACATAAAAAATGCCAACCGAATTACACAGCCTCTGGGAAAACTTACGTTCTCCGAGTGTGTCCCTCCCTAAATGTTATGAAAATAAAACCTTAAGACGTCGACAGTACACTTTTGGTAAGTGAATTGCCTGTTTCATTTCTCTACGTACTCAAAGAAGGAGTATTTTACAGAGATAACAGAAAACAGATTTGACTACAAGGAAATCAAATCGGAAATAAATTACAGAAAAAAGTATACCCTTTTCCCTTTAGAACCTTCACTAGCCAATCGGATCTTTACCTTCATGCTCAAATCAGAGAAAGCATATTCTGCCAGACTACAGTCAAGACCATGAGTGACCTTACAAATAAGCAGTTAACCCGACCTATTTCCCATCATACATGTGACAGGAAAGTAACCGAGAAGCTAAGTAAAGCAGGGTGGAGTGAAGAATACAGAGGGCCCATTCCGTGTGGCATAGCCTGGCAGGAGGGTGATGTCAGCATTCTCTATGAAGGAACATGCAATTCCCAACACTCATAAAGCAGGAACCTTGATGACTTCAAGGAGAAACCCTTCTCTTGCCTGATTGTTGGAGCGATAGCCACTGATGCTACCACGTTCCATAATGAGGGAGCCCTCACTCCGTGCAGCCCAGACTGCCGCACCCATGCTCTCCTCGCTTTACGTACCGTACTTGGAATCATTCCACGTGGGGGGTGGGGACAGCGCCATGATTGCAAGACACCCGGGAGACAGCGCTATGGTCAAGTGCAAGGCAAGGAGAGCACCCCATACGAGGAAAAACCCCAGTCTCCTCTGGTCACACGGCACCTTGAGCACATGCCAACAGGCAGCTAAAGGATGGTCCAAGGGAGGGAGAGTCTGCAGCAGAGAGATGGCCAAGAAGCTGCCACATGGTCAGGGACTAGGAAGGCAGACGATGCAAGTGTCTGGAGAAGGAAGGCAGGCGACAGGGAGTGCCCAGTGACCGCTTCAGATCCCCCAAGGCAGGAAGCAGGCGGCAGAAGACGGAGAAAGGTGCACAACAGGGAGGAGGGGCTCTCCTCCCCCAGCCCATGCCCCTCGGGATGAGGCAGCCGTGAAACCAGACGGAGTGAAACTGTCCTGTCGGCCTCACCCTGGAGCCCAGCGAGACCCTGGAGCAGACACGGATGTTTCCTGGGGACAGTGACCGGCCCAGAAAAGCAGACACACAGAGACTGAGTGAGGCCTCCTTCGCCCAACCCCCACCCACACACAGCACACCGTCCACACACGCCCAGGCCAGCAGCTCACACCACGTGTCAGGGCCTGATAGCCCGTAATTATGCCATTAGCCACGTCTCCAGCAGACAGACATGGCCAAACCAAACAGCGGGGATTCCCGGGCCACGCTGACGACAGGCCCGGACAGCAGCTGTGCCACGGCCTGATGAGGGCCCGTCTGGGGGGAGTGGCAGGGCTCCGGGTGGTGGTGCCCAGATAATCTGAGGGACGGGAAGACAGCCGGAGGGCAGCCAGGGGAGAGAGAACTGTGTTGTCTTAGAAACCCCGCAATGACTCAGGCCCACAGGAAAGGAAGCAATCAAACAGTGTTAACCATTACCTCAGGAAAAACAAACAAAAATTACCAAAAAGGGAACGGAATCAGCACATCATACGGCTCAACTCAAACAGCACTCATAAGCATCCACACGTACGTACGTGTGTGTGTGTGTGTGTGTGTTTGCGCACGCACGCGTGTGTGTGTCCAGACTCATCTATGAAACTTCACAAAGAAACTGTAACCACAGTGGGCAGCTTGGGACGGGGCTGGAGGAACCAGTAAAAGCCATGGGTCCTATTTTAGTCTTCCTCAGCCGTCTAAAGACAATGTCCAAATACAGCCGGAGAGCGTTTTAGTTAGACGCCTGTAGCTAAAACACCAGAGGCTATTTTAAGGGTGGAATCAGGCTGGGACACAACAGGGCAGGCAGTGACGTTTTTTATTATAAGTCTCGTAAATTACTTGATTTTCTCAACACTGCACTGTGCAAAATGGTAGACTTGCAGAAGACTTGCCCAAACCGTTCAGAGCGTTCTCATCCCCCGTCCCCGGGATTCCTCCACTGTGTGCAGCTCCAACTGGCTCTTCGTTTCAAAAGCCTCTGCTGACCAGACCCACGTGTTGAGATCTGCAAAGACCTCATGCTGGGCTTGTAGCAGGAACTGAGGTGACACCACAGACCGAAAGCATAGAAAGTGCCACGTTCTCCAATTTATAGCATCTCCCCCTCTTTATTCTGGTCTTGTTTAAGAGCTTTGTAGTTTTCAACAAACAAATCCTGCAAACATTTTGTCAAATTTAAACTTAAATATTTCCGTTTCGGGGGGGGTGTAATATAAAATGGATTTAAAAGTATTAGGATTCCAGTGGCTCATTTCTCGTGGACAGAAATAAAGCTGAATTTTGCATATTACCT